AAATTTTAATAAGAAGTAAAAATTTTTTGACGAATTGAACAAAGGAAGAGAGAATGGACATTTGGATAAATGGATGAATATGGGAAGATTGACCGATAAGTTGAGATGTAAATAGTTGGAATGAACAATGGGATAAAAATTTACAACAGCGAGAAGAGTGGAGGTAAGAAAGAATTTAATGACATAAGAGAGAGAGAGAGAGAGAGAGAGGGAGAGAGAGAGGAAGGAAGTGTTGAAAAATATATTCAATATTTTATATTTCGATATCATTACCACATTTTGAAAATAATAAAATTTTGTTGCAGACATGTAAGATGATTTAATATTTGTTTCATCTTCAAAATTTTATTAGTTTTTATTTTAATTGTAATTTTAATTTTGACATGATATAATGTAATGTTGAATGATGGCAATATTGATTGATCATCCTTCTTTATCTGTTACTATGAAATTATTGGGCTAATCAATCAATACTTGTATTTGATCGTTTTCTTGCATTTTCTTTTGAATTAGAAATTGCTAAAAACAAAAATTAAAAATACGGATAGAATTATGAAATAGTTATTGATTTCCTGCAATAACCTATTATCCGTTTAAATGATAATCTGTTAAAATGATAATTAAATGATAAGAAAATCAATTTATTAAGAATATGAAGGGAATAGTTTTATATAATATTAAATAATTGATAATTTAAATTTTCTTTCCTTTGTTAATTCGCTGAAGAATAATTATTTTATTGTTTTCTAAATTTGAAAATAATATAAACTTTGTATTTTGATATCATTCAAATGTTACAATATGTTATTTTAATTGATCGAAATAATTTCATCCAATTAAAAAATTCATCCTTCTTATTTCAGGTTTCTTTTTTTTTTGAACATATTGATGAAATTTGATTGCAAAATTGTTGAAAATTGATGATACTCTTAATTTCAGGTTTTTCCAAAGGGAATTATTCAAAGTTTACCATATGCAAAAGAATTATTATTGGTCACTTCTCATTAATATCATATTGCAATATAATATGCAAGCAGTACTATTAATAGAAATTAAAAAAGGTTTCATTTGTTAATTAATTAAGTAATTGTATTGTCAACCTGAAATCATCTTAATTTTATTGCAATTAAAATACTTTCATGTTATTCAATTCGTTTTGATGAAGAGTTTAATTCGTATGAAAGTAGTATATTATATATATTGGTCATTACTAATCGGTCAATTGTTGTATTGAATTTCTTTGTTGACACACAGTGGAAATATCTATAACAGTAATTTACATTTTGTCTAATTTTATCTAATCTAATTTTTATCTAAATTTTGATATTATTTAGATTAAGAGATAAGTATTAATGATAAGTGTTAAATAAAATGTTTTGCTTAATGAATGAATGAATAGAACTAGATGGATCTATTTGATATTATTTTAGATTAACTGATAAGTGTTAAATAAAATGTTTTGCTTAATGAATAGAACTAGAAAGATCTATTTGATATTATTTAGTTTAACTGATAAGTGTTAATGACAAGTGTTAAATAAAATGTTTTGCTTAATGAATGAATGAATAGAACTAGATGGATCTATTTGATATTATTTAATTGCAAAACGTAATTTTTAAAAAATCGTTGTAAAATAAGATTAAGCCTTTTGCCTTTCGTAAATGCCAAAATTTCCGCAATTATTTACAATCGATGAAATATTGTAGTAAATATATGAAAAACGATGAAAATGTAAACTTTTGTGCTAAAAAAATTATTTAATGAAAATGTAAATTTTATTCAAAGATATCAATTTGATAATATTATTATTATTATTATCTTTATTATTATTATAATATATATTATTATCAAATTGAGAGATATCAATATTATTATTACTAAATTGAAAGACATCAATTTGATAATATTATTCAAATTTTTTTGCATTATCAAAATAGTTATCAAATCTTTAAATAATTCCATCAATTATCACTCATTGATAATAAATTTGGAAAAGAAAATTATCAATTGATAAGATAAAAATTTATCATTTTTTGATTAAATTCTAATTATTTGGAAAAAAGAGAAACAAAGGAATCATTAACTTATTTAATTAAAAAAATTTTTTTAATCCCAATTTTTGTGTAAGATAAATATTTTTGTTTCACTGGATAAATTTTATGATTTAGAAAAAATTTTATGGAAATAAAGAATATATGCAAAATCCGAATTCTTGCATAAATTATCGATCGTTTGGAAATGATAGTATCATGGAAAAAATTTGGATCATATTTTTGTTTGGACAGATTTTGTTTTGAGAATTTTTTGTATAATTTAACATTCTTTTTTCAGGATTATTTATTAAACAAATTATCACAAATGTTATCAGTGATATTATCCAGGTTTAATTTGCAGTTGAAATTTTGATAATAAAATTCCTTCAGCCTAATTAATACAGTTTGTTTTAGCTCTTAATGATGGATTAATGATGGAATAAGGCAAATTGTTTTTGCAAATTATATTTAAATGTTTGTTAATTAACTATGTCCTATTTATAGCATAATAATAAACAATCCGAAAATATGCCACAACTGCATGAATTGATCAATGATCAAAAAAGACGTCAAAAGCGATTTCCGGAAGAGAGATCGGAACAAACAAAATGGTTTCAATGGCCAAGTTTGTTTTAATTTACATAACAGTATTTAATTCTTCTTATCAGTATAATAATGATAATATATTAAGTTACAACTATGTTGCAATACACGTAAGATTGCATGATAATTATTAATGCAATATTGAAATTTAAATTTGAAAAAAAGAAAATTTGGGCAAAGATTTAATGAATATAAAATGGAAACTATTTTATATAAATAGTTAATAAAAAATTAAAACTTATTATTACTATTAATTTTTTCCACATAATTATATTTTTCTTCTGATAAATTATGCGAAATTATCCATTCGGAAAAAGGCGCAGAATTTTATATATGTGTTAATATACTGCTTATAATTGCCTAAAATTAACAGCCTTTTTTGATTAGATCAGATTTGAAGCATCATTTAAAAATTGATATCAATCAATTAATTGAATTAATTGAACAATTTTTTAATTAGATAAAATAATTTTAAAATAAAATTCTAAAGCTTTCAAATTGTTATATTTATTTACGGTGAGAAATAGATATGAGAAATAATATTAGTAATTAAATAGGCTTAATAATGTACGATAAATCTTTAATCCATGTCAAATTGTCCAATGTAAAAGATTTTTATTTTTGGGTCGAAACAACACTATCATTCATTATCACCATTTATCATTTGCATTATCATTATTACAGTTACTGTGTTATTCCATTATTAACATTAATATCATTAATATCATTAATATTATCATCATCATCGACAACAACAATAACAACATCACTATCATCATTATCATCAGCAACAACAACAACAACAATATCATTATCATCATCATCATCATTATTATTATTGCCACTGTAGAAATTAACCATCTGGAATGATGAAGCAAATATAATAATATTTAATTAAAAATTCAAAAAAAAAAATTTAATTTTAGGTCCATGTAATAATGATAATAATTGTCCACCAAATTTATATTGTGTTAATGGAAGTTGTTGGCATTTATCAAATAAACCGATACGAATACAACAAATACACCGTCAAAATGGTTTCGAATTATTTTAACGTTATCAAACTTCGTTTCTTTTTGTTTTTGTTTTGGCCTAATAATTTTGAATCAAAATCGGATAGAAGAAGTATGAATAAAACTTTTCTTTTCGCTTCTATTAAAATATATCAATAAATTGTATCATAATAAGTATAACAGTAAAATATTCTAATTAATTGATTAATTAGTTAGTTTTTATTAATTGTTTTTGTTATTATTTGACATATATTCCTTAGAATTTAAATTCTAAGCTGATTATTTGAAACATTTTTCCTTCAAATCATTTTCATGCATATAGTTATAAATTTAACAAATAAATTTGATAGAATAATTAAAAGATACGGTTACTCCATATGTTTAAATTATTTGTAAGTTTTAGAAATTTTACACATAATCAAAAGTGATAAGTGATAAGCATAAGTGATAAGCTTTTTCTTTGTTAGTATTTCAAAGTTTCGAAAGTTTGTTTTTAATATTTCTATTAATATCTATTAATTTTAATAGTTTCATTTCAAATTTTAACACGAAATATTTTAGATTTATCGAAGGAACAAAAAAAATCAGATATATCAAATTTCATATTGCAATCGTTGTATCCTTCAACAACTGATAATAAATTTCATACAACAAGGTATAGCTAGTATAATAATAATAATAATGATATTTGAGATTGAAATTATCTGAACTATATTTTACGGTATAAATGATAATATCATATCAATTTTCATAAGAAGTGCTATTTACCTTCACTTACTATCATTTCAAATGTAACGCCATAACCTTTTTCATTCTTTTCATTGAAGTTATTTGTATATAAACTGTAGTATACTTTAATAAGATGATAAAGAATATGACAGATATTTTTTTTCAAATAAAATCTATCTTCAAAGAAATATTACATTTCTTTTTCAGAGAAGAGTTACCTGAAGTTGAACCTACGATCACAAATTTATCAGAATTTCGGAATTCACATAATTATGCAAATAATACTATACCTGTGACAACAGTGATACCAACAACAACAAAAACAACAACTACTACTACAACTTCTACTACAACTACTACAACAGCTTTTCATCAATCAAACACAAAATCATTAATATTTACAGCTGTTTGTTTGAAATTTTTTTTCACCTGCAGTAAAATGAAAGTTTCAGAAATTGAGAAATAAGAATAGTTATTGCAAACCGTTGTTATCATTAAAATTATTTGATAAAGTTTTTACAAAACTTTTTTGGAATTTCTTTTATAAATTAAAATGAAAAAAAAAACTAATTTACAAATTTTATAGACGAAGTCAAAAACGACAAATAGCAATCATCAAATAATGCGACAGCAACAAACAACAACAACAACAACGACAACAACAACAACAGCGACAACAACAATAACAACAACAACAAATAACCGAATAAAGACAGGTAGCTTCTATTTTTTAAATTTCTTTTAAATACCGAAATAAAATTTAAAAATTTAATGTTGCAAAAATAACTATAAAATAAATTTCTATTATTAAGAGCTAATATTTTAATTTGCTTCAACTTTTAAATATATTTCTTTCATTGTCTATCCTAATCATCATTGTTCTGATTATCATAATATCATCATTTTCTTTTTCTTTGTCGTTTAAACCTCTTTTTATGAGATATAATAATGTTAATCGATGTATTTCTTGTCATTTGGAACTGATCTCTCAAATGCTTTAACAACTGGTAGTGAACAAACCGGAATTCTTTGATTGATTAGTATCATTCTATCATTCAGATATCTATTCTATATGTTGTTAGGAAAGCTTCAAGATTACCATTCCATTTTATCAATCTCGATAGACGTCTTTACACAGGTATATATGAATTAAACCTATCTGTGGAAGAGATAATTCACATTGTTTCATAGCTTTTAGCCGAATTTCCGATTTACATGGAATATACACGACAACAACGATTTAATAGACCGATTCGCATTGAATTATATCTTGCCAAAGGTTAGAATACAACTAGTAAAAACTAAAATGATATTACAAAAATGATAAATGATTAGAATGACTGGTACTTATTGTTGCTTTCTTATATAACCTGAAATTCTCACCACAGCATTGTTACGTGATGAATGTTCGCAAGATTCGCATTGTGGTCATCGAATGATTTGCTGCCATAAACAATGGTATGATCTAAGTGCTGATTCTGGTACCGGATATTTTTGTTTGCCAAATTGTGAATTAACCAAAAAAGTAAGTCTTGGAATACATGAAGCCGATGGTTTAATACCAAACGATATAATTTATGATTAACATATGTCAATATCTCTGATAAATATTGTTCATGCCGATTCAAAGAATTAAATCATAATAATAATTTGGTTAAAGTTCCAACATGTAAATTTAATTATCAATAATCTAATCAATAATTAGATTATTATCAATAATCTAATCAGATGAATAAACCCGTATAGTTAACTCAGTGAACGTGTATTAACCATGGATTTTGTAATTCAGGTGTAAATGTAATCTATAACAATTGCCTGTGTACTTAATTATAATTAAAAATAATTGATATAATTCAAAATATTTAAGATATATATGATGAGAGGCTATCAGAATTTTGAAGCTAACATTTTCACAAATTGAAATTTCAATTTTATTCTCACCAGAAGTAATAGAAATTTTAATTTTCCACTATATTCGGATATCCATTTTATTGATCGAAAAATTTTCATTTTCTAAATTTCATTTTTAGTTATTGAAATTCTTTCTCACAAATTCATTTCGCTCTTTCAATAAAACAACAAACATTTTATTTCATCGGAAAAAGAAAACATTCAAATTTACTAATAAAGGAAAAAAACAGCAATCTTTCGCAATGAAAAAGACTGTCAGCAAAGAAAGAAATAAAAATGAAAAACATCCGAAGAACATTTTCATTTTGTCATCTTAGTATAAAATTATAATTGATGAGTTTTAAAAAAAACAAAACTTTTCTGCAAAAATCATTCAAAATAAAGAATGATTTGTAATAAGGGAGGAAAAAGAGAGAGAGAGAGAGAAAGAAGAGAGAGAGAGAGAGAGAGAGAGAGAGAGAGAGAGAGGGACCGGTACTTCACAATATATAGCAGTAATTACTTCTCACAATAGTAATATATCTTCTTTTTCAACTTCAAAATTTCTTAAATCGAAATAATAATGAAGTCAAAAATAACTTTGCTACTAAAATATAGCAAAATGATTTCATACTGTAAAGAATTTGATTTTTCTTTTTTTAAATAAATTCATTTTGCAAAATATGCAAATTCAATATACCGTAATTTTCGTTATTTCATAGCTACAGGTGTTAAAAAAAAAACAAAAGTGAAGTAAACTGGAGAAAGTTATCACCTGTTTATATTGGACAGTACCGGGAAGTTTTCAAACATTGAAACAAAAGGTTTATTCATTGTCAAAAATTAACTTCCTTCATAAAATGATGATCAAAGAAATAATAATAATAATAATAGGTAGGATTAAAAGTTAAGAGGAAAATTAGGAAAGGGAAGAAGAAAAGAAAAGAGTTTAAAAATTTCCATAAGTTTAATTTCCGATTAGAAATTTTAAAACAATAATATTATCGTAATATAATTAAAAGAAAAAGGCACAACTACTCAAATAGCGAAAACAAACGAATTGAAAAATTGTTTGTAATTAATTTCTATTCAATTCTTTCGTTGATAGAATTATCATTGCAAGATAATGAATTCTATGTAGAACAAATTCACATATATGCGACATATGCGCCTATATCAGAAAATCAAAAAAAAAATGATAACCATATCTTCCTAAAAACATAAAACAAAAGAAACAGCAAATACAGAGAGAGAGAGAGAGAGAGAGAGAGAGAGAAAGGAAAAATAAAATGTTATACAAGAGAATTGAGAGAACAGTAACGTACGTACAAGGAGTAAAAATTAAGACCTCGCACAAACATGATGAACCTGTATTAAAATTTACAGTTCAATTTAGAGAAAAAGAAAAAAATTTTTTGAGAAATATAACATAATCAAAGGAATAAAATGAAAAATAAAGAAAAAAAAACACCATTAACAAACGAGGTATATACAAATAGAATAAAATTTTTTTAAAATTCACAAAATTTAAAAAATTTGAAAAATGAAAATTTCACCGAAACAAAATAATAATTTCGTTTCTTATCGCAAAAAGAAGAAAAATCACTGCAAAAAATTGCTAATTTTTGCAATGAAAATTCATAATTTGCATATTAATTTTTCACTGCAAAATAATTAAAATCAAAAAAAAAAAACAAAACGATTTCACTTTGTCTTTTTAATTATGTTAAATGATAATTAATCACAAATGAAAATACGAACTTATCACCGATACTTTTCACATTTTTGAGAATAAACAGAAAATGAAAACGCAAAAACCGGAAATGCATTGAGAAGAGAAAAATATGATTAAAATAATGAAGTCAAAATTTGATTGTTAAATAAAAATATAAATTTTGAGATTTTCAACTTCTAATTTTAGGTTAAAAAAAATTTGGGCTAAAATATTTTTTGTTAGCACAAAATTTTTCAATGTGATAATTTGAAGCGAAAAAGAGAGAACGAAAGAAAGAAAATCAAAAGTCGAATAGTTGAAATTATTATTAATAATAATAATGAATAATGTAAAACAAAAGAAAATCCAAATTATAAAATAAATTAATTACTGCAAATGCTAGGAAACTTTGGCAATTATTTTAATTTTTCAATTATTGACTTTTGAATTTATCTTTCTTTTTTCTTTTTCCGAAATAAACAAATTTCGAAATGTTAAGACTTTTTTTAAGTACGTACAGAAGATGGTAGGAAATTATTGCTGATATTAAAAAAAATAAAAGATAAAGAAGATATGGCCTTATCAACAAATCATTATGATATCTAAACGAATCGAGATAGTTCAAAATCAATTTAATTCTTCATGAATTAAACAATTTTAGGTTAATATTACATAACTACTGAATTGAAATGATCATTTAGAGAGAGTAGAAACAAATTATATTTTCCTATTTTTTTGCAAAGCTCCTTTAAAAAAAGAATAAAAGTAAAAATTGATTAATTCATATGCTAAATTTGCCTACTAAGTAAAATATTAAAATCTATGAAAATATTGAAAAGTAATGAAGAGAAAAAATTTTAGGCTATGGTACTTAAATAATTTTTCAGTATCATTCAAAGGTAATTCTAAATTGATAAATTGTTAAATCTTACTAGTGATAAATTCTATTTGATAAATTCCAAAATATTTTTCAATTAAATTGCTCTGTTTTTTTCATGAAGAAAATTAAATGGAAGATCGTAAATATATCAAATAACAATTTCAAAAAACAAAAACATCAACAATTAAAAGGAAATATGAAAAATAAAAAGACACCTAAAAAAAAGGAAATATATAATTTGCGAAAAAGTAAATCACCGGTACAGTTCATGTTGATAACATGCCGGCAAATATTTGCCTTGCTGAGTAGACGAAGTAAAACAATAAATGAAATTGTTTTCCTTTTGTTTTTCACCTATTAAACATAAATAATTGGAATCACTGAGAATTAAATTGGCCCAGCAAAATGTGTTAAATGTAAACAAAAATTAATAATGAAATTTTGTAGAAAAAAAAAGACAATTAAGATTTAAAACAAAGAAAAGAAGTGGTTAAAATTTGTTTTGATAATACTTTTTAAAAATACACCTAACATCAAAGAAAGAGCAAAATGAGAATGATAATTGAAATTTTGTTTCATTTCTAAAAATATATGTAATTAATTGAATTCAAATGATAAAAATTATTTTTTATCTCTTACCCATTTTTTTTATTCTCCTCAATATTGAAATTTAGAAAAAGAGGAAGAGAGAAAGGGAAAGAGAGAGAGAGAGAGAAGGGAGAGAAAAAGAGAGAGAGAGAGAGAGAGATGATGATCATGATAATGATGATGAGATTTTATCATGATAATAAAAGAAATGGAAAGATGGTAAATGATGGCAGGTAAATCATGCACAAAATGATAATAATTGAGTGATAACGATTTAGAAGTGTTAAAATCGGATAAATTTAAAGTTATAATAAAAATTGACTAAAAAAATAATGAAACAATAAAGTGAGAGAAAACTAATGAAATGCATAATAATTAAATAATAATAATAATATTCGTTTCCTAATTAATAGTTACTAAATTTTTGTCATTTTTTATTCCTTAAAATTATAAAACTAAGAAGTGAACCATAAATTATATAGTAAGAGAAATTAGGACAAAACAAAAACTAATTTGTTCCCGGTTAAAATTCACTTCCGAAAACCCTAAAACCCGTTAAAGGTAGTAGAATTAATTAATAAATTAAGAAAAATAATTGTTTCTATTTGTTTGTTTTAAATAAAAGGAAAATTTTATAATTTCGTTTTCTTCTACGTAGAATATTTCCTAAATAAAATTATAATTTAAACAGTATATGAGGAAATGGTTAAAAAAAAAGAACAATAACAACAACAAAATAAACAGAAATTTTTAGCTACTAAATTAGGAAAACGAAAAAAAATATAAAAAGAATGGATGAAATTTTGATTTTTTCACGTTAATCGAAATGAATAATTGCACGTAATGGAAAATGTATGAATAATTAATTGATTTCATTCATTTTTCCATCCAATATGATAAACACGGCTTTGTCCGAGTTTAATAGAATTTGATAGGGATATGTTTCAAGCAAGGATAGTTAAGTGGATGATTTTATTGGAAAAGGTTAGGTTTTTTCAGAAAATATTTAGTCT